ATAGAACTGCCATATGATCTAGCAATTTCATTCCTAGTGATATACCCAAAGGACTGTAATTCAGGTTACAACAAAGGCACCTGCATACACATGTTTATTGCAGCATTATTCACAATAACTAAGCTATAGAAATAGCCAAGATTCCCCATTACTGATGAATGGATTAAGAAAATGTGTTATTTATATACAATGGAATTTTGTTCAGCCACAAAAAAGAATGAAATTTTGTCATTTGCAGGTAAATGGATGGAACTGGAGAACATCATCTTAAGTGAAGTTAGCCAGGTTCATAAGGCCAAAAGTCACGTGTTTTCTCTCATATATACAATATAGATCTACATTAATATAGAAGTATTATGAAAAACAGGTCACACTAAGAGGAGGTCATATACAAGAGGGAGAGTGTAAAAGAACGAAATTAAGAAGGTGAATATGGTTGATGTACTCTCTCTACAAGAATAAATATAGAATTTTTAAACCTGTTTTTAAACATAAGAAGGGGACTAAGGCAGAAAGGAGAAAAATAGAGGAAATGAACCAATTTGGGATATATATATATATATATTTGGAGATGTCACAGGGAAACTCCCTGTATAACTATCTTAAACAATGTCATTTTTTTTTTTTACAAAAGTGCAGAATCAGAAGGCAGAACAGGTCCTGCCTAGGGATGTTGGCACCAGTAGGAAAGAGGTGGGGAAAGGGCGTTGGGAGGATGAATATAGTGCAAATACTGTGTACACATGTATGTGTTGAAGCTATTACAAGAATGGGGAGAGGAAGGAAAAAGGAGAGTGATGAGAGGGTTGAATTAAAAAAATTAAATAAATCTGTATTCTATCATTGTCAGAGCATCTTATATTACTTTAAAAGTAGTCTGAATAAATGAGAAGTATAATAGTTATCTTCTTGCCTTTTTTCCTTTCAGAGCTGGGGATCAAACCCAGGGCCTCACACATGCTAGGCAAGCACTTTACCCCTGAGCTACACCCCCAAACCCATTTATTCTCTGTATTTCACATTCAGTAGATTTAAAGATGCACTTCTGTCACATTTAATATTTCTGACAATCTCTGGCATGCCATTATTTGTTAACATTGTTTTTTATCTTAGTGGTTCATAAAATAATGGTACATCTTTTATTTGATATTCTCCTGGAATTGATGAAATGTGATACACATACTACTTGGAACATACAGTTTCAAGAAATCATGACAGCTACATGTAATAACCTCCCTCTTCCTGGCCCTCCTCCAATCCCAGACCACATATTGAGCTTTGTTTGTCATAAAGTGCAACTGGATGCCTTTAGATTTTTTAACTTACTATTGTGAGATAAAATTCACAAATAAAAAATACAGATATATAATATAAATTATTAAGTATATGTTGGACAGTCACTAGTTATAGGTATAGAATACTTTGTCAGCATTGCCAAAGGCCTGCTTTTATCTCTTCATTATCACAGCCTGTTGTCCCCTGAACGGTAGTCACTATTCTAACAATTTTGGTAATCATTTCATTTCTTTCTTCTAAGATTTACCCTATTTCCTATTTCCTACATACCATAGAGTGGTTATACTTGTTTTATAAATGGAATAATAGTGTATTCTTTGTGTTCAGCTTTTATGCACAGCATTGTTGTAAGATTCATTTGTGTTGTTGTGTGTAGATGTCAATCATTCATTTCCACAACATAGTAGTAGATCATTACATGACATAAAAAGTTCTTTGTCCATTTTACTGTTGGAAGATATATTGGAAAGCTTCAGAGAAAGGGCATGTAATATTGCTATGAATTTTTCTGTGTATTTCCTTATGCATATTGTGTGCATATTTGCTAAGAGTGAAATCATTAGGTAAAAAGCTATGTTTATCTTCAACTCCATTAGATAATGTCAAACCATTTTCTAAAGAGTTGTAATAATTTAAACTTCTGTTGCTCATGATCCTCACAGTAAGAATTAGTATAAATGAATCTTATGATTTTTCATTTGCATTTATTAATGAGATTGAACACATCCATATTTTTAATGACTGTTTGGATTTTTTGTGTAAATTGACTTTTCAAATATTTTCTCCTTTTGTACTGGGTTATCCATTTTTTTTCCTACTGACTTACAGGAGTTCTTTATGTATATGAACCCTTTGTTATATGTATTGTAAAATTCTTCTCCCAGGTTGTAGCTTGCTTTTTCACTCTGCTATGGCATCTTTTGAAGTTATTAGTTTAATGTAGTATTTGCAGTCTTCTGTGGTAAATTTTTGTGAATGTTATATGAGATTATTGAAGTAAAAAGTGTGCTTTATTTCACTGTAGATACATCATGTTAGGTATGCAGCTTATGTCCTCTATAATCCTCAATTCTTGTCTATATAATCTCTCACTGTCAAGATAGATGGCATTCTCCAACTACTACTATGCTTTTCAATATCTGGTGCAGTTTTTGCTTTATGAGTGTTGATGCTATGTTACTTGGTAAACAAATTTAGAGTTAGTATCTGACTTTATTACTGTCATATAGTACTTTTTAACACAAGGGTAACTGCTTCTGGTGCGAAGAATTTAATCCCAATAGTTTTTATGTTTATCTGATCCATCTTTATTCAGTCTTACTTTAGTCAGCAAGATTAACTCCTCTCAAATCATTTACATTGAAACTTTAAAATATACTTTAGGAGAATCTCTTGATTTTACATAAGTTTTATATGTATAGCATATACTTGGTTTTTCTGTTGTTGTAGGTTTTTTTCTCTTAATTGGTAATTTTAGCCCATTTGTACTTACTGACATTGATTTGTGATCAAGGTTGTTGTTATTATACAAGTTTTTGTCTGCATATTCTTTTGTGGGAGACAGTATTGGGGTTTGTTAGCCCTTTTTTTTGGTTTTTTTTTGGTGGCAATGGAGTTCGAACTCAGGGCCTCATGCTTGTTAGACAGGTGCCCTTACTGCTTGAGCCACTCCTCCAGCCGGACTTGATTTCTTTCTTTCTTTCTTTTTTTTTTTTTTTTGGTGGTAGTGGGGCTTGAACTGAGGACCTGACACTTGCTAGACTTACTAGGCAAGTGCTTTACCACTTGAGCCACTCCATCAGCCCTCAGTATTGGGGTTTGAACTCAGGGTCTCATACTTGCTAGGCAGGAGCTCTACCACTTGAGCCACTCTGCATATTCTTATTGCTAGTAATACCTATTTTGACCTGGAGACTATCAGTTACAGTAGCTATAATGCCCACAGATACCTATTTCTCTAGTTGGTACTATTGAACATAGTACCAGTAGCCACATGTGGCTGCTTAGTGCCTGGAATGTGAAGACTGGTGTGATAGAAGAACTAATTTTTTATCTAAATTTAATTCTAATTAATCCAAACTTAAACACTGATGCAACATTGTTGAAAGAAGTTGAAGAAGACCTCAGAAAATAGAAAGATATCCCTGTTCAAGGGTTAGAACACTTAATATTGTTAACAAGGCAGTACTCCTAAAATCAATCCACAAATTTAATGTAGTCACTATCAAAATTTCATTATCTTTTTGAACAAGCAAATAGGCTGATCCTAAAATTTGTGTAGTATTCTCAGGCACCCCATAGCCAAAATATCTTGTAGAAGAAGTACAAAATTGGAGACTTGTGCTTCTGATTTCAGAATTTGCTGCAAATCTCCAATAATCAAAGCGCTGTGTTACTGACATAAGGATAGACATACAAATCAACAGATTTAAAGGAAGATCCCAGAAATATACCTGTATATTATGATCAACAGATTTTTGAAAAGGGTACCAAAACCATTCAATGGAGAAAGAGTTGTCTTTTCACCAAATAGTACTGAAACAACTGGATATCCATATGTAAAAGAATGGGTTTGGACCTTAAATATCTATCATACATAAAAATTAATTCAAAATAAATCTTAAAACCTAGATGTAAGAGGCTAGAGCTATAAAATCTTATAAGGAAAAGTGGTATATTTTCATAACTTTTGAATTAGGCAAATGTTTCTTAAGTGTGACACTAAAACACAAACAACAAAACAAAAAAAATGGGTTTCATCACAGTACAAAGTTTGTGAATCAAAGGACACCATCAAACACTTGGAAAGCTTACCCAAATTGGGGAAAAAAATTGCAAATCATAACCTAATAAGGATCTAGTATCCAGAATATATAAATAACTGCTACCACTTAGCAACAAAAAGGTAATCTAATTTTAAAATTTCACAAAGTGGGCATTAGTATTACTATTCAATCCTTAAATTAGACAGTCATCTTCGGACACTTTCTTTTTTCTATCTCCTTTATCTTTTTTTCACCTTATTCTGTGCAACTCTGCCATACTGATGTCATACAGAATTTTTAAATGGATTGTAATGAGAATTCTCTCCCTGCCTCTCTTCCCAGTTAGAAATGCTCATGTCGGGGGGGACTACACTTGTTATCTTCTTCTTCTAGTTAAAGCTGTGCTGACCTTGAACACTACCCTGTGTTATAGTAATCATAATAATAATTAATTATTATTAAATAATAATAAATATTATTATTTATTATGTAAATAATGTCATAATCATTGGCATGTCCTACTGTTTTTTTGTCTTGCACTGAAGATTGGATGGCCAGTGGTTGGTCCATGAAGGACAGGAAAAGAACCAGCTAGAAAGTCCTTATCAGCACATCTGGGATTTCTTGTTCTCTTATCTGGAATCCTTTCTGTCTCCTGTGGGTGCTCTCACAGTTTTTATGTTACTTCCTTAGATCTATAAATCTCACTTGAACTTTGGCACCTCTAGTCTTGATTTTGTGACAGGGAGATGGGATCCCATTTCACTTGCCTTTTTTTTTTTCAGGAAACAAGACTTTATATTATTATAATTCTATCCTTACTGTGAAGTGGTTTGGAGTTTACTTACCAGTAGCTTACAAACACAGAAGTGTTAATCTTAAGAATCAAATTGGAATATATTATTCACTGTATTTCTTTATTAACCTTGGTCTTTCCAGTTCTGATAGCATCAGCAGTGATGAGGAGGAGCTCAGGACTTTCGGAAGCAGTGACAGTGAAAGCAGCACTCCAGAGAACGTGGGACCTCCTCTCATCATGGATGAGAACAGCTGGTTCAACAAGTGTAAGAGAGTGAGGCAAAAGTATCAACTTACCCTAGAACAGAAGGTATATGTCACTTGCCAAAGGTTGTTTAATTTGACTTTATTTTTTGCCTTTAGATTATCACTGTCAAAAGACCTTTTTTTTTTTTAATCATTCCTTTTTTTGTGCATACATTGCTTGGGCCATTTCTCCCCCCTGCCCCCTGCCCTCTCCCTCCCAACCACCTCAATTCCAGGCAGAACCTGTTCTGCCCTTTTCTCCAGTTTTTTTGAAGAGAAGACATAAGCAATAATAAGAAAGACATAGTGTTTTTGCCAGTTGAGATAAGGATAGCTATACAGAGAGATCCCTAGAATTTCTTCCATACACAAGTGTATTAAAACCCGAATTGATTCATCTCTACTTGACCTCTTCACTACTTCCCAGTCACCTTCCCATATTGACCTCTGTCGTTTTAAGGTTACTGTATTAGCTCCTCTGTAGTGGGGACATCAAAGACTTTCAAGTTTGGGTTTCCTACCTTTCCCTATTCCTCCTGTATGTGCTCTCCCCTTAGCATGTGACCCAAGCCCAACAACATTGCTGCATTTGCCCTAGATCTAAAGTCTGCATGTGAGGGAGAACATATGATTTTTGGTCTTTTGAGCCTGGCAAACATCGCTCAGGATGATGTTCTCCAGTTCCATCAATTTACTTGCGAATGATAAGATTTCATTCTTCTTCATGGTATAAATACCACACTTTCTTAATCCATTCGTCAGTAGTGGGGCATCTTGGCTGTTTCCATAACTTGGCTATTGTAAATAGCACTGCAATAAACATGGGTGTGCAGGTGCCTCTGGAGTAACCTGAGTCGCTTTCCTTTGGTTATATCCCCAGGAGTGGGATTGCTAGATCATACAACATATCTATGCTTAGATTTTTAAGAAGCCTCCATATTGTTTTCCAGAGTAGTTCACTAGCTTGCATTCCCACCAGCAGTGTATAAGGGTTCCTTTTTCCCCATATACTCAACAACACCCATTGGTGGTGGTGTTTTTGATGGTAGCTATTCTAACAGGGGTGAGGTGGAATCTTAGTGTGGTTTGGATTTGCATTTCCTTTATTGCCAGAGATGGTGAGCATTTTTTCATGTGTTTTTGGCCATTTGAATTTCTTCTTTTGAGAAAGTTCTGTTTAGTTCACTTGCCCATTTCTTTATTGGTTCATTGATTTTGGGAGAGTTTAGGTTTTTGAGTTCCCTGTATATTCTGTTATCAGTCCTTTGTCTGATGTATACATGGCAAATATTTTCTCCCTCTCTATGGGTGGTCTCTTCAGTTTAGAGACCATTTCTTTTGTTGTGTAGAAGCTTTTTAATTTTATGTAATCTCATTTGTCCATCCTTTCTCTTAGTTGCTGAACTTCTGGGGTTGTATTGAGGAAGTCCTTGCCTATACCTGTTGCTTCCAGAGTATTTCCTGCTCTTTCTTGTACTAACTTTAGAGTTTCGGGTCTGATATTAATGTCCTTTATCCATTTTTGACTTGATACTAGTATAAGGTGATAAACATGGATCTAGTTTCAGTTTTTTGCAGGCAGATAACCACTTTTCCCAGCAACATTTGTTGAAGAGGCTGTCTTCTCTCCATCTTATGCTTTTGGCACCTTTGTCAAAAATAAGGTGGGCATAGCTGTATGGATTCATATCCAAGTCCTCTATTCTGTTCCACTGGTCTTCATATCTGTTTTTGTGCTAGTACCATGCTGTTTTTATTGCTATTGCTTTGTAATATAGTTTGAAGTCAGGTATTGTGATACCACGAGCATTGCTCTTTTGCTGAGTATTGCCTTGGCTGTTCGTGGTCTCTTGTGTTTCCAAAATGAACTTTAGGGTAGATTTTTCAGTCTCTGTGATGAATGTCATTGGGATTTTGATTGGAATTGTGTTGAACATGTAGATTGCTTTTGGTAGAATAGCCATTATGAATCCATGAGCATGGGAGCTCTTTCCACCTTCTGTAGTCTTCCTCGATCTCTTTTTTCAGGGGTTTGTAGTTCTCCTTGTAGAGGTCATTCACATCCTTTGTTAAGTTTACTTCTAGGAATTTGATTTTTTTGAGACTATTGTAAATGGAATTGTTTCCATATATTCTTTCTCAATTTGTTTGTTGTTGGTATATAGAAAAGCTAATGATTTTTGTAAGTTGATTTTGTATCCTGCCACTTTGCTATAGCTGTTTATGGTGTGTAGGAGTTTTGAGGTAGAGTTTTTTAGGTCTTTAAGATACCGGATCATGTCTGCAAATAAGGATATTTTAACAGTTTCTTTACCTTTGTGTTCCTTTTATTTCTTCTTTTTGCCTAATTCCTCTGGCTAGGAATTCCAGGACTGTGTTGATCAGGAGTGGGGATAGTCGGCATCCTTGTCTCATTCCTGATTTTAGGGAAAATGGTTTCAGTTTTTCTCCGGTAAGTATGATGTTGGCTATAGTTTTGTCATATATAGCCTTTACAATGTTGAGGTACATTCCTTCTATTCCTAGTTTTCTTAGAGCTTTTATCATGAAGTGGTGTTGAATCTTATCAAAGGCTTTTTCTGCATCTGTTGAGATGATCAAGTGGTTTTTGTCTTTGCTTCTATTAATATGCTGTATTAAATTTATAGATTTCCATTTGTTGAACCACCCCTGCATCCCTGGGATGAAGCCAACTTGGTCATGGTGAATGATCTTTCTGATATGTTGTTGGATTTGGTTTGCCATTATTTTATTGAGGATTTTTGCATCAATGTTCATTAAGAAGATTGGCCTATAGTTCTCCTTTTTGGAGGTATCTTTGTTTGGTTTTGGGATGAGTGTAATACTGCCTTCATAAAATGAGTTAGGCAGTTTTCCTTCCCTTTCCATTTCATGGAACAGTTTAAGGACAGTTGGTATTAGTTCTTCTTTAAAGGTCTGATAGAATTCAGCAGAAAATCTATCAGGTCCTGGACTTTTCTTTTTCGGGAGATTCTTTATTGCTGCTTCAATTTCATTTTCTGTTATCGGTCTATTGAGGTGATTAATGTCCTCTTGGTTCAATTGTGGATGGTCATAAGTATCTAGAAATTTGTCCGTTTCTTCAATATTTTCAAATGTATTAGACTATAGATTCTCAAAGTAGTCTCTGATGATTTCCTGGATTTCCGTGGTGTTTGTTGTTATTGCTCCTTTTGCATTTCTGATTTTACTGATTTGGGCTTTTTCTCTTCTCATTTTAGTCAGGTTTGCTGGGGGTCTGTCAATCTTGTTTATTTTTTCAAAGATCAAGCTTTTTGTTTCATTGATTCTTTGTATGTTTTTTTCTATGTTAGTTTCTATTTCATTAATTTCAGCCCTTAGTTTTATTATTTCAGTCCTTCTGCTTGTTTTGGGATTTGCTTGTTCTTGTTTTTCTAGGAGTTTGAGATGTAGCATTAGGTCATTAATTTGAGATCTTTGTGTCCTTTTAATATATGTACTCATGGGTATAAAATTTCTTCTTAGGACTACATTTGCTGTGTTCCATAGGTTCTGGTAGGTCATGTTTTCATTTTCATTATCTTCCAGGAACCTTTTAATTCCTCTTTTATTTCATCAATGACCACTGATAATTGAGCAATGTGTTGTTCAGCTTCCAGTTGTTTGCATGTTTTCTACTGTTGTTTTTGTTGTTCAGTTCTAGTTTTAATGCACTGTGATCAGATAGAATGCATGAGATTATTTCTGTTTTCTTATATTTGCTGAGGCTTGCTTTGTGCCCTAAGATATGATCAATTTTGGAGAAGGTTCCAGGAGCTGCTGAGAAGACTGTATATTGTGTGGAAGTTGGATGAAATATTCTGTAGACCTCAGGTAGGTCCATTTGGTCTGTGGTGTGATTTAGTTCTAGAATTTCTTTATTGATTTTTTGTTTGGATGACCTATCTGTTGGTAATGGGGGTATTAAAGTCTCCCACTACAATTGTGTTGGAGTCTATATACGCTTTTAGGTCCTTCAGAGTATGTTTGATGAAATTGGGTGCACTGATGTTGGGTGCATATAGGTTGATAATTGTTATTACCTTTTGGTGTATTTCTCCTTTTATTAATATGGGGTGTCCTTCTTTATTTCATTTGATCAATGTAAGTTTGAAGTCTACTTTGTCTGAGATAAGTATTGCTACTCCTGCCTGTTTTCAGAGGCCATTGGCTTTGTAAATCTTCTTCCAGCTTTCACCCTAAGCCAGTGCTTTTTTCTGTCAATGAGTTGGGTCTCCTGTAAACAACAGCTTGTTGGATCTTCCTTTTTAATCCAGTTTGTCAAATGGTGTCTTTTGATGGGGGAGTTAAGTTAACATTCACTGTTAATATTTATAGGTATGTGGTGATTCCTGTCATTTAGTTGTTTTTGTTGTTTAAGGGTTTGGTTGTGTGTAGTTGAATCAGTGTTACTCTCTGATTCCTTGTCTTTTCTTCTCCTGTGGTTTGGTACTGCCTGTCCTCTCATGGTTTTGTTTGCTTTCATTTTCTGTGTGCAGAATTCCTTGAAGAATCTCTTGTAGTGGTGGCTTGGTAGTCATGTATTGTTTTACTATCTGTTTATCGTGGAAGACTTTTAATGCTCCATTTGTTTTGAATGATAGTTTTGCTAGGTAAAGTATCCTAGGGTTGAGGTTATTTTCATTCAGTGCCCAGAATACCTCACTCCATACCCTTCGTGCTTTTAATGTTTCCATTGAGAAATCTGCTATGATTTTGGTGGGTTTACCTTTGTGTGTTACTTGTTTTTTCTCTCTTACAGCCGTCAGTATTCTTTTTCTGTTTTCTGTGCTGGTTGTTTTAATGATATGTCATGAGGTAGTTCTATTTTGGTCAAGTCTGTTTGGTGTCCTGGAGGCTGCTTGTACCTGAATGGGCTTAGCTTTCTCTAGATTTGGGAAATTTTCTGTTATTATTTTGTTGAATATATTACACATTTTTTTGCTTGTACCTCTTCTCCTTCAATGCCTATTATTCCAGGTTTGGTCTTTTGATGGAGTCAGTGAGTTCTTGCATATTCATTTTATAGGTCTTGAGTTTTTG